GTAACCCGTTAGGGTCGGGTTAGGGTTGGATGTTTCCAACCCGCAACCCGTTTATAACCCAACCCGTCTAACCCGTCACCCGAGTTGACCCGACCCTAACCCGACCCAACCCGCCCGTTTGCCAGGTCTACCTCCTACTCATCTCGAAAAACCAACCTTTTGAAAAATGGAAACTTACGGCCAATCAAGAAAACAAAAAGACTAACAAATAATAATAATAATAATAAAGAAAGAAAAGAAAGAAACTTACCTAGACCATCCTAAATGGACAGACAGGTAAAGCATAATTGTTGCATCTTAGAAAGATTTACTTCAGTTCATACATTCTGGAATGTTTTCTACGGTAGGCATTTTTGCCTCATCTTCTTGACCACTACTGCTGCTACATTAGCCATGTTGTGGCGATACAAAGATCCTAACCCTACATTTCCTACTGCCTCCATCAAATCCAACAACCCAGCAGCTTTGTTGTGGGCACTTCATTTGCTGCGGCTCCATGCTTCAACATTTTCTTTCTAAAACAGCAATTTTTATTAGCATTTAATTGAATTACTGATAAATATGAGTCAAATATTATCACTTATACAGGTATTAACTCACTTATGAGCATCATTTTCTTACTCATCATCTATGAGCATTATTTTTATATTTTACCTTTTTTAATACTTTTTATGATAAATCAAATATCATTATATTCCAACGCTTACCTCACTACCAAAAAAAAAAAAAAATTCATTACCTGCATTTTAATTTTTGCGTTTGCACCAAATGCCAAGTAATTATTATTATTATTTTTTATTTTTACTTGCTTTATTATAACAATATTTTACGAAACGCAAGTAACTTTCAGCTTTTTATGTGGCAAGTGCAGGAATTAATTAAATAAAAAGACGGGTTAGAAACGGCGTCAAATCTGAAACTAAACTAAAATTAGAAGAAAAAAAAAAAACACAACTGAGGAACTAGAAAGCATTTTCCCAAACCTTCTAGAAAACAATTATTATTCTCCATTTACCCGAAAGCATTTTTACAAGAGTTTCTGCACGTAAAAAGCTCCTTTCCATTTCTAATTCCAATTTCGATTCCGATCCCATCCGAACTTCCTTTCAAGTCCATTAAACTCTGTGCTACCGTCATAGCTGAAGCAAGGGATCTCGCATCCGACCAAGTCTTTGACCAGCCGCTGGCAGGCC